ATTCAATTTTTACTCTTCACCATGAATTCCTATGTCACATTTTATATTAAAAAAAGGAATAAACTACAAAAGCGGCATGTAATTTGTAATTGTCATTATTTATGCAGAACAATGTCAGTTTGTACAACATTCTACACAGCAAAATAAATAACTCTGTTCATGATTTTCAAATTCCTCTTTGGTGATCTACTTCCTCTCTACAGAAAAAATAGTCTAGTATTATAATAAAACAACCTATAAAATAAATTTGATTCAAAACACTCAGGATTTAAAATTTCTTTAAAAAGTAACTCAATTCAAATTGGGAACAACATTAAATATATGCCATGGAACCACTACAATGTTATATAATGCTCAGAAAAAAATTACCAGCCTCTACTATTTTTCTGAAAGGCTGTTCCAAGGTCAGGAACTTTAATTAACCTTTCTAATGCTTAGAGGTAATGGCTCTCTTAATTCAGCTGAAGTCTCAGCTGGACCATATTGGACTAATAAAGTAGGTGGCCTGGGAACAGATATCGCACACTAGAATGAAGGAAGAACATGATGATGACTGATTTTCAAAAGCAATGACTGATTTTACAAAAAAACCCTTAGAAGACGGGAACTGGAAAAAAAATCTAAACGGCTTTTCAGATCCAAAAATGTGTACTTTATTATTAAATTTTTCAACAAAATATTCTTGTAGAAATTTTTAAGATTGGACAAATGTAACACACAAAATTTAGGCATGCTCATCTGGATATCTATTTTCTTATAGTATACTATAGCTATAATCAGAATGTTTTGGTCAAATGTGTTTAGCTGTGTCCGACTAATGAAAAACCAGGCTCAAATATTCAATTATTTAATATACTGAGTAGCTTTGGGTTAACTTGGCTCATGTTAAGAGGATAACATGGGAATGGATACGGAAGAAGTATGCATCACTGAGATATTCCTTGTAGAAAGAAGGGAGGCATGTCACATATTTGCTTGTGACCTTTGATTTTGATATCCATCCAAACCAGAACCCTATTTATTATATTTCATTATCGAACCCCAGATAGACTCAGTACAACTAAATACAGCCAACCACAAAGTGATAATTAAAATCCAAATAGAGACGAATGAAAAACAACAAAAAATAAACACTCAGCTAACAATTAAAGTCAATCTTCAAAGGGCAACTTGAATAATAAATGTCTTTGCCTAATGGCAGAAGGAAAGTGGAGAAAGAGCTAGGCCCATTTTACTGTAGATGCTTGAGGTTTTTGTTATAATTCTACTGGATTTATATTGGTGCAGCAGCATACAGGCAGTATTCCCTGATGTGAGATTGCTCATTTATTCTTGTTTAGTTTATTTAAATGGGCAAAATAAATAAAGGTGATAGATTGGGAAATTACTGGGAGAAAATTATAGACTGATAACAATAGGAAAAATGATCATTTCCAGGACATACGCTTTTATTAAATTTTGAGTTGTGGTTTAGTTTACATATCTGGAAATGTGTGAGTTATTCAAACAATTCGCATTGGGACTCTGAATTTTTACATTTGGACTGCCGTTCTGCAGTCGATATTTGTGCTTCCACAAAGAAGTTGTTCAACTTATGTTTATTGGCAGCCATAGACCAGAATATAAATAATGAGATATATCTTATCAAACCTATCTGTGCAACAGCTGAACTGATAAGATCTCTGTTATATCAGACCAAGGCTCTATTAAATCAACATTTCTTTTTCTGCACTTAATCAGATGTACGAAATGAACAGTAGATTATTCCCCAGTACACAATTTTCAAAGATGCTTACCACTACAGAGGAAACAAAGACCCATCAGTCTACTTTTGACTCACCGAGGAATAGCTAATATATCAACAAAATTGACATAACAATCTGAGAGGTATGAAAATATAAGGAAGCTATATTTTTAAATTTTAGTTTTTGAGGAAGGGTATTTTCCTCAGGAAAAAAATAAGTTCCCTTTTTGATAACAAATATTTTAAATAGAAGGGAAATTGCCAGTGTAACTGAATCCAGAGAGAAATGACATCAAAACTGATAGATGAAAGTGCTGAAGCTAGAAAGCACTTCCTCATCAATAGGTGGGATTTATATTTACAGTAGGATGACATTATTATCACCAAGTCCTGTTATTCTGCTATTCCCCTTGTCAGGAGCAATTATTAATCTGAATTTATGCAAAACTCTTTTAATGGATGTTCAAATTAGAACAAAATCTCAATTTAATGGACTGGTTGGGGAGTGGGCAGGGCTCTTATTCCTGATTGTCTGTTAAATTGAAAAGCACATCATATAGTCACTTGCATAATATCATTACAGATTTGCATAATATAATGTTGCAAATGCTACAGGATTTTCATCTGCAACATCCACAGTCTGTGGCACTGATAGTCCACTTAACAGAGGTTTCTCTGTAATGAAGAACTAGAGACTCAGTGAAACAATAAAATACAAAAGAGAGTGAGTAGATCAGCAGATTGGTGACCAATTAATATTTGTTGTCAAAAGGATCCTTTTATTGATTCTACTGATTGCAAAGTTTAAGAAGAGTCATTGGATGCTCTACTCTCCTGAAATTAATTTCTTAAAAAGAGATTTGCAGTTCCTCCTTATCTCAAAGGGACTGTAAAGAAGGCTTAAAATCATAGGATCCTATTAGACCATTTAATACAATTTTCTACTCAATGTAGTAATCATTTGTGGTAAACGATTGCCCAGCCTCAAGTGGTTCCTCTGCTGGTTCCATTGTTGAATCTCTCTTATAATTAAAAGACACAACTAATATTTCCATATTCCTCAGGGTTTCTTTCTGATAAAAAAACATTTTCAATCACACAGAAAGGATGACAGGAATGGGACATTTTAAACATATCTGCAGGGGAAAAAAATCACATATAAATTTATTACTTCTTTTCAAAATATGGCTTTTTTCAGAATGACCACACCGTTGAAAAATAGTGTAAAATATAGCAATGTAGACTATAGGTGTATAGAGTTGGCTCTTGTTTCACAGGGATGCCTTAAAAACATGCTATTTAATTCTTCTACAAATTCATTTTAAGTTTATCATTATGATAGGCTTTGGGGTTGAAATTTCAGTTATAAAATGTACTAACTTTCCCTTCGGTGGAAATTTGCAATTCAAAAAGCCAAACAATCAAAGGCAGCATTGGTCAATAAACATACAGAACAGTATTAGGTATGTCCATTGTCCAAAGCACACAATGACTATCCTCCTTTTTCGTTAATGGCAGTGATTTCAGACACAGCTGAAGCAAATTTTCCAGATGTGTAGCTGATTACTTTGAATAATTAAATGGTGTCACAACCAGCTGTGATGAATTGGACTGGGGTCTCAATTCATAAATAATTGAGGAGACGGGACTGCATTTGATCAGTCCTATCAACTCCTGCTCTCCCGAGGATAAATGTTGGTCCTGAATACCACCAACATTGTTAAATACCTCAATGTTCCTGTTCAGTCATCCAGCCAAGAGTCAATTTGACTAAATCATTTTTAACACCTTGCACAGCCGCTGTCCTCATGAATACGAAATGCTCATGAGTGGCACAATAGGATTTTCCCCTATTATTTGGGGGTTGGTGTGTAAACTATGAGGCAGTGCAGCCAATGCCTAAACGAATAAGCAAAAACCTTCAGGAATATGCCTGAAAGGATCACATTGAAGAAGATGCTTGCTGCCTTACTTGTACAAGGTTGAACACAGAAATGCTCCTTATCAAACCAACAATCTTGTAACAGTCATTTATGTGTAAATGTAGCTGCTTTTTATGACTTAATCACGGCCCTTTTAACACCTGATTATTAAAATATGTTGGGCCCTGAAACCATATTTCTCCCTCTGGTCCTGAGAGAGATGACACAACAGCTGCATGCTATTTTTGGCTGTGAGAACTCAAAATCCCTCCTTCTTGACAGCTATTTCTAAGCCCAATTGTGCTGAAAGGAACACAGTATTCAGAACGATTAATACTGGCTTTTGGAAAAACTGTTTTTGCTGATTAGAGCCTGAGTCTGTCACTGTCATTAAGCATGAAGCTGTGTTTATCTAAGCCACATGATTTTATAGACCCAGGGAGCACATGGAGTCAGATGAACACACAGCTGCAGCAGGCACTTGTGCTTCAAAGCTGTAAATGTGTTCAACATGCATGGCCTTGGTTTTGATTGCTGATGGTCAGTACCATATCATAGTTATCATATTATTGGTATCAAATTATTCCAGTTTTTTTTCCTTGAGTGAGATGCAGCTTTTTCAACTTTCTCAACTTTCAAACATTGTAGTTTAATACATATTATCAGACAGGATTGACTGATCATTCATTCATTCCATTTATATAGGTATTATGGTAGCTCCAGCACCAGTTGTATAATGTCATGCCAGCACAGATGCCACATTAATATTTACTTCTCTGAGTCTCACAATCTCTTGAAAATTCTTTCAAAAGAATGTGCCCTCAGTAAGATGATTCTGCTTGCATCACACCCAAAGCACTTTCTTCTTTGGCTGTCCTTTGAGAGATGAACGTTGCTAGATGCCAGCTCCCTTGCCCACTTGATGTGTCCACTGATACTCTGCTACTTTTTCCAGGCTTCAGTTTTTCCAATAAAGGAGAATATTTGTAGCTCAGGGTTGAAATGAGGGGTCCTTGGTTGTTTTCTTGCAGATGTTTCATTACCCAAACTACAGTAGGTAACACCATCAGTGCATCAGTGATGATGTTACCTAGCTTGAGTAATGAAACATCTGCAAGAAAACAACCAAGCTCAGAGAGCTCCAAGGGCTACTTCAGTGTTTCTACTTCCCAATCAGAAAGTGTAGTGGCATGAGAGAGTTATAGTCTTAAAGTAAGGTCACTGAAGTCAATGGAATTTATTTCAGAGTAGACATTTTGGACTCTTCATAGAATCATAACCTATCATTTATATACTAAAAAGGAGTTTCTGTTCTAAAAGCTTCTAACACATACCTCAAAATCTTCTGAAAACCCATGCTGGTTGTTGGCATACAATTCACCGATATGCTTCACAAACTGTTTGACAGGAATTGCTTCCATGTCATCTGCAAAATGAAAAGAATAGATTCATTCCACTGTGTATTTTTTCACCAACAAGGTTGATGTTTCCTCTATATCTATTTACTGCTTATCAATAATATGTTTATAAATATCTTTTAAAGTGCATTCTCAAGTGAAATCAGCCCAATATATCATTCAGATTGTCTTACCATTTCCTGTAGCTCAGGAGTCAGGAAGCTGCAGCTTTCCAACACTGTTGGGCTGTAACTTACAGCCACAAATGTCTTTCATCTAGCGTCATGTTTGCATGGGCTTCTGGGAGTTGCAATTGAACAGTATTTAGAACAAGGGTATCCAACCTTGGTCACTTTAAGGCTTGTGGGCTCATGCTGGCTGGGGAATTCTGGGAGTTGAAGTCCACAAGTCTTCAAGTGGCCAAGGTTGGACACCCCTGATCTAGAAGAAACCCATTCCTGCTTTAAATTTTGACAACATTAATAAATGTTCTGTGTGAGTGAGATGGGAAATACCTAAATTTGACAAATAAATAAATGTCATGGCTCTGTTGTGTCAAGACAGGCTGATTGTAGAGAGCCCATTTTGTTTTATAAATATTTTGCTTAGTTGGATTGTGTTTTCATTGGAATATATTTTGTTATTTGCCTAATCGCAGTCAATGCTAGTAAAAACAGGACAGACTGCCTTGTTTTTGATGAACAAAAACAAGTGAGGTGTCTGTGTTTCCTTATTTAGGGATGTCTCTTAAAGGGAAGAGCAAGACATTTTGGGATGAATATCCTTTAATGATGCCATCACACAAATAATGTACTTTGGGCTATTTGGAAGATGACATCCTTATGCAAGTGGGTTTACTTTTTGGTGTAGCATGATGTGTGTGAATGTGATCACTAAACAAGGCAAAGATATTTTCTTTTTGATTTAGCGGAATGGATTTCAAAGCATGATTAGTTGCTGCCTTTTGTTGCAACTTTTTATTCCCATTAACTTCACTCTGTCTCATGTAATCTTCACTGTTCCTTACTCTTTTTCATTATATTCTATGCATCCATATTTTTTTCTCTCCACTATAAAATATTTTGCTTTCATTCTTATTTTTTGCAACAATCATTCTCTTACATGCATTTTTCTCCCCCATTAACTCTTTTATTTCATCATTCCACAAAGCACCTTTTTTAATATTTCCATTAGCATAACTTCACAGGCTTCTAGGGCACTCTTCACTCTCTTCCAAACATCTCCCATATCCATTTGCCTTACATCCACTTTCCATTCATTAATCTGGATGGATTAATCTATCTTTCTATTTATTGCCATGCAGGCCTTCTTTTCCTTCTTTCACCAATTTTCTAATCTTCTCCCAAATCCATTCTTGAGTCTATTAAAAACTGATCTGTTCCATATTTAGAGTCTCTCTGCATTCTTAGATCCATTATTAATTACTTTTCCATCATAAAGAGTGAAATCAAATTAAATCATGGATCATGTTTTGTGGATTTTGAGAATAAGTTTGTCATTTTTAGACTATGAATTTGAAAATCTTCCTTTTTTTAAGCAAATGCCACAAATCTCTCTTTAATTTTTTTTTGTTTTTCAAAAGACTTAATAATTTTTGCTGTGCTCTTTCTTCTTAATTCCACCCACTCATTCATATCAAATAACAGAATTTCTTTTCTTTTCAAGGTTATTTTTATGCCAAATGTTGCATAGTGTTTCTCAAAATTCAATCCCGCTTCTTGATCAGTATACACAGTATTCATCTTTGCCCTTCCTGTTAGAATCTCCTTCCTTCCTTCCTTCCTTCCTTCCTTCCTTCCTTCCTTCCTTCCTTCCTTCCTTCCTTCCTTCCTTCCTTCCTTCCTCATTTCATTTCATTTCAGACTTCACAAATTGACTAAATAAATAACTTTCACAATGTCTCCATCTAATATGCATTTATTATGAGGGCAATAATATGGGAAAACATGCCTTCCTAATAATAGCAAGGCTCTTATGTAAAAAAATAGTCTTAATAATTTGTATTTTAGTATAAAAAAATAATAAAGTTAGTCAAGTGCTATGTCATCTTTATGTGAACTAATTTTTGACACAGTGACTGAAAATGTTGCATTTTCGGTTCGTTGGCAATTGACGAAGACACATGGCGAAAAACAACAAGCTCTATTACTCTCTCCTACAACCAAGCAAGCAGTAAAAGGCACACAGGCCTTTTAAAGGGCTCTGAACCCAGACAATGTTAATAGCATTAACAAAACAGCCAATAGCAGCTGGCTGTTTTCGCGCCTTGCGCATGCGCACAAGGCTGGCGACAGCCAGTCTGGTCCTGGGCAGCTTTTGGTCTGCCCGGGACCATTTGCAACATTTCTGAGCCTGCTGAATGCTTCAGCAGGCTCAGGACACAACACCCCTCCCCCCTAGATAAAACAATATACTTTATGATGTAACAGCACAGGTACAACCGTTCAAAGGACTGGGGTTTAGTGAACATCACAATAGTCTGCACACAGACAGAACACTCTTACATTAATACTTCTTATAAAAGAAATACAACAAATAATAATTTGAAGGTAATACTCCTCCACTGAGTGTTTACATCTTGTTTAAGGACCAGTAAGGTTCCCTTAGAATTGACAGAAACCTCACATAGTCCTCAAGATGTTTAGGTGGGCCCTTAGCCCGCTGTGTCCTTCTGATGGCCGGTGAGTGTGCCTGGCCTGCCAGCTCGCCTGCCAGGCTAGGCAGACCAGGACTTTGATGCCCCAAATACCCAGGTGACCCACCCAGCTGCTGACTAGCTGAACCCTCTGAGTCCAAGCCAGTGTACCTTGGAGGAGTGGCAGTCCCTGAATCCACAATGGACTCCTCTTGGGAACTCTATCCCTCGAGCCCAAGGCCAGCAGTTGGAGTGGCCTGAGTGGCGGAAGTGCCCCAGTACTCTGAAGACCCCGTGCACGTGCCGGAAGTTCCAGAGTCAGGAGCCACCTCCATGGCAACCCCCCTTGCTATAGACTTCCTTTGCGGAGCAATTGCTGAATTATGAGAGTGCCCCTGATGGAATTCCCTGTCTGGGGCTGTGTTTGAATTGTTTGGATACCCCAGGTGCGTCTCCCTGTCTGGAGCACTATCTGATGTGTTTGGATAATGTGGATACCCCCGGTGTAACTCCCTGTCTGGAGCAATAACGGAGGTGCGGGGTGACCCCCCCTTCCTGGAAATTCCTGTTTGGTGCACTTGCGGAAACAGCTTGTGAGGCCTTGTTAGGCCTGGGAACCTGTGACCCAGAATGCATATTATGGTCCTCCTCTCTCCCCCCAGAGCAGAGCCAGGAGCGGAAACATGGTTGTGAAGCCTCCAGCGCAGTTGATCTATGTGTCTGTGGATGACACGTCCGTCATCCAAGGCCTCTTCGTATGACAGCGGCCCAGAGATCTTGCATACCACTGCAGGCCCATAGTTCCTTGCCCAGACCGGATCACCCACCTGAAGACTCCTAGGTGCCCATGGCTGTGACACCTGTGAAGCCACCCAGTCTGGGTGCAACCTGTCCAGTTTGGTGATGAAGCGGCGACCCCAGTGGAATTCTGCTGGGCTCTTCCCTGTGGCTGCGCAAGGTGTGGTGCGGTATGCAAGAAGGAAATCTGCTAACCTGTGATGCCAGTTACCATAAGTCAGTTTCTTGAGAGCATCTTTGATAGTGCACACCATTCTCTCTGCTTGGCCGTTGGAAGATGGGTGGAAGGGAGCAGGTCGCAAGTTGGCCTGAAGAAAAGCCTGGAACTCAAAAGAGATAAATTGGGGACCATTATCTGAAACCAGGACATCTGGAAGTCCATGTGAGGTGAAAATTCCTCTCAGCACCTGGATAGTCCTGGCAGTAGTAGTGGAGGAAACAAGAACAACCTCTAGCCACTTGGAATGGCTGTCAATGAGGAGAAGGAAGAATTGCCCTGAAAGGGCCCAGCGTAATCTATATGGACCCTTGACCATGGGGTTTGTGTTTCCTCCCATCTATGTACTGGAGCCTGAGGAATTTCAGGCCGTGACTGTTGGCACACTTGGCACCCATGAACCTGGGCCTCGAGCGCTTTCATCCTTACTATACCTGGATGTCCCTCATGCAGAGAGAGCACGATTCTAGACCTCAATGAGGCTGGAATCACTACCCTACTACCCCATAACAGGCACCCCTTGAAAGTGGAAAGTTCATGCTTCCTTCGCCAGAAGCTTTGAAACTCCGTATCTGGGCACGTGTCAGGCCATCCTGAACACACTCAGGTCAGCACGCGTGTGAGCGTGTCATCAGTGGCAGTTTCTGCAGCCATTTAGGGGAGATTCAGGCAACTCCTGAATGGAAAGAATATTAATAGCAGAAGCAGGATCTGCCTCTATCTGTTTAAGAGGTAATCTGCTGAGGCCATCTGCATGGCCCATCTCTTTTGTGAATTAGAATGTAGTCATATGCTGACAGGAAAATGGACTATCTCAGCATACGTGGAGAAATAATATGTGGTGTCTGTTTGTTAGTGATAAACAAATCCAGCAGAGGCTTATGGTCTGTGTAGACCGTGAAATGGTGGCCATATAAGCAATCACAGAATTTCTTTATGCCAGCCACTATGGCCAAGGCTTCTCTGTTAATCTGAGCGTAATTCCACTCTGCAGATGACAGAGTCCTTGAGTAGTAGGCCACAGGGACTTGTGTCCCATCAGCCTTCAGATGGCTAAGTACTGCTCCCACCCCATAAGGAGATGCATTGCATGCGATGCATACAGGCAGTTGCTCATTGAAATGCGCTAACACAGCATTTGAAGAGAGCAAGGCTTAACCTCATTGAAACTCCTTTCACGGACTTTAGTACACTGCCATGGAGCCTGCTTGTCTAAGAGCCAGTGTAACGGCTCAGCCACTGCAGCCTTATGTGAAAGGAATGCGTGATAGAAATTTAAGAGCCCCAAGAAGGCTTGCAGCTCACTTTTGGACTTGGGCCTTGGGGCCTGCTGAATTGCTTGCAGCTTGGATTCAGCA